AAACCAGGATAGCTTTGTCCCGCATACATCGCTGTATATAACCAAGGTATCTTACAGCTTGCCAAAAAACACCACCACTCGGTAGCATACTCATGGTCACAATATTGGTAGTTACTGTATGTGTGCATGTTAATAACTGAATGAATGTCTAACTCAAATTGGCTGTATCAGCTGGTGACACATATAACGTGGTTTTGTTTACAAGAATGAAGAGGATCTTTGAAATAAATATCCTACCCTAATTTGTTCCAGCCTTCAGGGGCTGAAGTTGAACATCTCCATGACGAATCAGTAACCACCCCATTAGTAAAAGAGCCTCGAATTCCCCCGATCACACCCACATCCCGACAATCGAATGCCAGGACCAATGATGTATCAGGAAAAGAAACTGGATAAGAGACTGACCATTTGTCTGTACTAGTTTCAAGCTGACCATCAACAAAGAACTCTCCGAAATTATCACATGTTACTAGTCCAGAGACAACATCGCCATTTACTGAAAATATAATCAAAATCAATATTAGGCTCATTTTAGAGAGCGGTCTGGAAATAAATACCACCAAAAGGAATATTAGATTAAGCTACATACCAAAGTATTCTAAATAATTAATGAGAATCTTCACGCAAGTCACGCTATCTTTAAGAACGCACACAGAGAAATGTGAACATTACCCGTTGAAAAATCAGGTTTCAGAGTAAAGACCGACCATAGTATTAATTATTATAAAATCTTACCTTGTGTTAAAAGAATTGCGCAACTTGTCACTAAAATCAGATTCATCTTGAATTTATTGAACACTTCGTCTCTTAATGTGATCCAAGCCAGAATAAAGTTCTAAAAAAATCAAAATGTAAAAATAAGGAGCAACTCTTATCATATTTTCAACAAATTATTTTTCGTACACCCTTTCTCAAAGTATTTTTAAAATCATGAATGAGAGAACATTTAAAACCATGCATGAATATACTCAACAGTTTATTCATAAGAGAAAAACACTTTATCTATCAATCGGAGCATTTATAAACAATGTTTTTGCATATATATCTACATTGACTAAGTAGTTGTCTTTAAGTTTGATTTTATATATTAATATTATTATTTTAATATATTTTTCACGAATGTTTGTAGCTAATTTGAAGGCCTGCTGAAATTCTTTTTGTTTTGATCCTTAGCGAGGATTACAATTTATTTCACCAGATGAAAATCTATCAAAATTAGTGTTTTAAGCAGCTCTATGTAAACAGTCTATTGAAACTAAAAAATTCTGAGTTATATTTTCTAGACTAAAATAATAAAATATTAAATACCTGACAATATCTGTTTAATGCTGTCTATATACTTTACTAACTTCTAATAAGGCGACTTTTTCATGTTAATTAAACTAATCGTTATTGCAAAACCAGTTTAGTAGGTTTGATCATGTGACAAGGATGATTTTGGGGTGTGGGAAACTGAAGCAGAGTAATTTTCCTACATTTTTTTGGTTTATGGAATTTAATCTGGAGATCTCGAACCCCATTTTAGCTTGACATTTGCTAGAGTCATATCCCTTGCCAATATTTCCCCGACAAACCTGACACATCCTTACTTTTGTGATCGTTGTGGTGTATTTTACAAATGCCATATCTATCATGCCGTTCTTAACTGCTTCAGCAATAGCCATACAAGGGTAAGGTTTTGGGAAGAGCTCACAGCGGTTATTTCTGAGCACTTTGTATCTGCCATTATGCTATATGATGATTTCTCTTTACTGGTATTATTGTTAAGTTTATGGCTTCCAGATTCTGTAATTGACTCCACCATCAAAGTAAGATACCAAGTGTGTAGTTAGATATATTTATCTTTTAGTTAATCATCTAAGATTAGCCCCTTCTTACAAATGAAATCGTTTTGGTCTAGATCAATCGGTAGTTAATCCTCATTACCAATAGAATTGGTTGCATATGCAACAAACCACCATGTAAATATTATATAGATATAGCTAGTGCCTTCTGTTATATAGTAACTTGTTACCTTTCAACCACCCTAACCTGTTATCTAGCTAGTACCTTCTGTTGGATAGTAACCTGTTACCTTTCAACCACCCTAACCTGTTATCTAGCTAGTGTCTTCTGTTATATAGTAACTTGTTACCTTTCAATCGCCCTAACCTGTCATCTAGCTAGTGCCTTCTGTTATATAGTAACTTGTTACCTTTCAACCACCCTAACATGTTATCTAGCTAGCGCCTTCTGTTATATAGTAACTTGTTACATTTCAACCACCCTAACCTGTTATCTAGCTAGCGCTTTCTGTTATATAGTAACTTGTTATCTTTCAACCACCCTAACCTGTTATCTAGCTAGCGCTTTCTGTTATATAGTAACTTGTTATCTTTCAACCACCCTAACCTGTTATCTAGCTAGCGCTTTCTGTTATATAGTAACTTGTTACCTTTTAACCAACCTAACATGTTATCTAGCTAGTGCCGTCTGTTATATAGTAACGTGTTATCTTTCAACCACCCTAACCTGCCTAGTGCCAAGTTTAATAGTTTTGCTCTTTAACACAATAAACAATTTTTAAAATATCAACAGAAGCGAACAAAATTTAAAGCTTGGGTAATGCCTTCTGTTGAATAATGACTAGTTTGTTATGAATTTTCGTAGTGTAAATAAAATCATTACCTGACGCTATGTTGTTAGTTGTCTTTGTTCTCTCTGTAACCTTTCAACTAAGTTCTTCTTCATCTGTTAGTCATATTTAATATGAGTAGCTTGTTTTTTATGATATAAATTATATTGATCAGGTATTACGCTTGAAGTAGTTTCTATAAAATATCATGTAAAAAAAGCTTTTAATGTAACTCAGATTTTATCGCCAGGTTACAACAAAGCTTTTTAAAAATAAAGTAAAGATCTAATTTTCCATCATTATGAATTATCGATCACTAGGCATCTGCATTTTGTAGAGTTCACGTGCCTATTGTTTTTTTTAAAGAAATTGCATCTGTCAGTTACAGTCTGAATATATTCTATACCAATATGTGTAACAACAGGTAAGAGGGGCTGACATGGAAAAAGCGTCTAGTCGTTCGGATGGGACAATGAACCCGTGTGCTACAGATACAGGTACAGAGCAGGACGTTCACTCCACCAACATCCAACCATGTTTGTAGCTAATTAGAAATTCTTACAGATGATAAAACGTTTGTACCAGATTTCATTTAATATTTGGAATGTGTGTCGTAAGGTTTGATTATTGCCATTGTATTCGGAAAACAATATTTGAATCTTGTTTCCAGACAAAAATGTCCTTGAGACGTTTCAGCCTCACTTGTTTTAGCTATTTCGTGTTCACTTGTTTACAAAGCAGTTAAAGCTTTTGTGGTTTGTCACCCTCTCATTATCATCGGGGCGAGACGAACTGCATCTAATGTGTTGAGGAATGTCCCTTCATATTGAAAATAAGTAAAGTGGTTACCATACAAAGTCACTATTAATAGATAGTTATATACCTTACCAAGCTAACATATCATTCAACATAATTTCCAGGTTTTCTTCGAAATCAAGTTCTTAGTAGGTACGTATTCCCTCATATTACCCTATATAAAAACAGCTTACATGACTAATGGATGGAACACTTAAAGTAATAAAATGACAATAGTATAACATCATGGGTTTATCATGGGAAACATAATAAGCATCGTAGACTTATCAAACAAAACGTTCACATAATTACAACGTTTATTAAAATGATAAAATTAGAAGTATGTATTATAATATAACTTGATAAGATTGATAAACAAACCATATTATGTAATGATTCAATCTGAATAGTAAAACATGAATAAAGATAGGATATAAATATGGTTTATTTTGTTATATGGAGTATTAAGCCTTCACCAGAAGCAAATCAAGGAGTTCTCCATAACGACCATAAAATTTCCTACTAAGTATATCCCTGAAGATAAACTACAATGTAAGAATTGTGAAGCGATCCCACCATAAAGTATTGTATCATCATTTGCCTGATAATTATGACTTGAACTTCGACTAGAATCAAATATGCTTATGGAGTATAGTGTAACTTTTATGGGTGATATAATATTAAAACAGGGTACACATCCTGATTGTAAGAAAATTAAGACTATTAAAGATTTGCCTACACCAGAATGTAAGAAGCATTTACAAAGAATTTTAGGTATGGTTAATTATTCGTCAAATGGTATTAAGCTAAATGGACTATTATCTGACTGGTTTTCGACAGTAACAGGTGTTCGTCAAGGTGATTG